AACATGATAGATAAAAATTGGCTGTGCGGAAAGTTCTCTTACATTAGGAATAAACTAGAAATGCATAAAAGTCACATATTATTATTATTATTCCCTCCTCCACAAGTTTAATTTTTCTGGGTTTACTTATTTGTCATTTTCAATAGATATTTATGGCCTATAACCCAAGGCAATTTTGAACCAAGAGGCAAGTACTAAAGATTTTTAAATGTGTAATTATAAATCCTGCTGCAATAAAATAAAATCCAAATGTAAAATATTCAAAAAAGTCTCCCTGGTTAGTGCTTTGCACATTTAAAAGATCATTATCTCTGGGGAAGGGACAGAGCATTTTTTTCCTTTAGATGGAACAAAGTCATCGTCCTTGACACCAGGCAGGGATGGAGAATTTAGGGGTCGTTGATATAGTTGTGTTCTTGCTTATCGTGGGTACACAAAGACCTCTCTATTCCTGCTGATAACCAGAGAGGGGGAGGCCTGGGAGAGTCACATGGAACGTGTTCAGCCAGAATTGGTCTCACCACTCCCTGGACCAGCCCATTACCGGAGTGTTCAGAAGGAGCAATCGTGCAGAGTATACGTGTCTGCACTGGCCGAGCATCCTGCTTTTGTTTGTCCCTTCTCCCTTGTATAGGGAGTAGAATTGGACTAATAGGAATAATCAATTCTATGAGACACCTACATATTCATGCCAAAGGTTTTCTCCCAAAGTCTGAACGTCTAAAAAATATTTGCAAAAATTGTAATCGCTGGTAAGCTCCTTAAATATAGGGAAGTCAACAGATGGATGCTAACTTGCATTTATGTTGAAAATTCGATGAGGATTTTGGAGTCCTACTTCCATCCCTGCTGCCATTTGGAAATGGCAATGTCATGCTCACTGCCTCTAATTCCAATTATCTTCATATTGCACATCTCACGATTTCTGGGAAAAGCTCGAGTGTCTCTCCCAGGGGGCCAGCTATTGCTTGCAGAGCTTGGTTTCATAATTTCATCATCACTGCATTGTCAATAGTAAATTACAGAAATTACAGTGGACTAACCAATCTACAGCATATGAAACCTATATTAGCCTAATAAAATAATTTTAAATCATTAACCTCATAAAAATTAATTGTAAAATAATCAAAGAGGACTGTTTAAAGTGACTGAAATTTCATTGTAATAAGTATTTTTGTGATTTTTCCTGCTTATAAAAAGTTGGAGAAATATGATACTTTATTTTATAAAAGAAAATGAAAATATAACTTAAGTGAGTTTTTAGGTCGTTCTAGACCAGGCCCAGAACACTTCCTGGAAGATGGTAAGTGGTCAGATATATCTAATTATTGGATGAGGTGAGTGGCTGAAAGAGCTAGATAAAACCTTTCCCATAGTTTATAAAAAGAAGAAAAAAAGAATTAATAGGCACATGTTTTTCTTAAAGGCAACTAAATTGAAAATATAATGTTATACCTTTTAGTCAAACACGCTGAAATATAACTGATGTCATTAGAATAACAGGAATTTATTTTTACGTGTTACAAATTTAGAAATTTAGATAATTTAGACAGGAGTTAGGATGAAGTTTTCTTTTACTTTATTCATATTAAAAAAAGTTTCCTAAGGAAGTGAACAAAGTAAGCAAACTTGTTAGGATGTCTTATCTGTGAGAGAGAAGGAATCGTTTTCAAGTTTGTACCTCCCCATCCCCTCTCCACATCTGTTGAGACTCACTCTGTGGATGTATTAGTTTTCTACTGTAGCTCTCTAACAAAATACTCTAACTTGGTGGCTTAAAACAACACGGATTTCTCTTATAGTTCTGTAGGTCAGAAGCCTGACATGGGTCTCACTGGGCTAATGTCAAGGTGTCCACAGCTTCTTTCTGGAAGCTCTGAAGAAAATCAGAGACTCGTTTCCTTGCTTTTTTCAGTTTCTAGAGGCCATCTACATTCCTTAATTCGTGGTTCCCTTCCTCCATCTTCAAAACCAGCAACATTGCACTTCTCTGACCATTCTTCTGAAGACACATCTCCCTCTGACCATGGCTAGACAAGGTGCTCAGATTTTAATGCCCCTTGTGATTCCATGCAGCCCACCCAGATAATCCAGGAGAATCACCCTTATCAAGGCCCTTAATGTTAGTCACATCTGCAAAGTCCTTTTGGCCATGTGAGACAACATACTCACAGGTTCCAGGGCCTGGGACGTGGACATCTCTGGGGGCCATTCTGCCTACCACAGTGGGAGGTGGTGTTCAGTTCACAGGACTGTTAGCCAGCTTCAGAAGGTACCAATGTAGATATACTTATTTTAAATAAATTTGGTGTATAATAATTCATATTTATTAATGAAGGGAATAATCATCAATTTCCTTTAAATGGAAGACTTTCCTAAGTTGTTTGAAATGTTCTTTTATACATAAAATTTTTTAAATAATCTGATGATTATTAATAGTAAATTATTGTTTAATACTAATAATTCCATTGCCTTCCACAAGTCTATGTATTTTATATAATTTAATTGTAATAACAATATAACTTTATTTACATAATACTATCCTATATTCTGTTCTTTTCACTTAATTTTTATATATACTATTATGCAAACAGGCCACATTTTATTAAGCCTTACTCCTGAAATTAGAGAGTTATGTGTTTACCTTTTCTTGCTAGAACAGATAATACTTCACTGAACATTCACTTATTTGTATAGCTGTTTTTTGCTTTTATTGAATAAATCTCTTGGCAAAAATTCCTTTGGAAGAAATTACAGAGTCAGAATATACGGCTATCTGCTGGTTGCCTACCCCTTCCCTTCTTATTTGTTTATAGAACCATAATTTTGTTCAGGTATTGGGTCGCGATGTGGTCAAGGACCATGGGTTAAGCCCCAGGGGATGGGTTTGTCCTATAAGCCAAACCTGGAAATTTCCATCTCCTTTGCCAGTGATTGGTTTAGAAGTTACATGTGGCTCAACTCTGTCCAACAAAACCACGTTGAAGTTTCTGTGGCTGGTGGGGGTTTGATCGGAGCTGGGATTTATGCTGAATCTGTGGTGTGTTGATATCTATCTGTACCAGCTGGGTGTCTGTTATCACTATAAATCTGATGAGAGAAGGAGCTGAACTAGGGTGAGATTGGAACAAGAGCAAAAGGCATTGCAGAGGACGAGGCAAAAGAAGGATTCAGAGACGACTCTGACGTGTTGAGCCAGGGTGACTGTGTAAGAATGAAAGTGCCATTGTTGGGATTGTAGGTTTGTGGTTCGGGGCAGTGTTTTGGATGCTCAAGGATATTGACTTCAATTTGGGATATGTGACCTGAGGACAGAACATCCAAATAAGTGTGGGCCTCCCAAGAGACGTTGGGTTCAATAGAAATGCATTGGGAGCAACAAATGCAAGCCACATAGATAATTTTATATTTTTTAGTAGCGACATTTTTAAAAAAGTTAAAAGAAACAAGTGATGTTAATTTTAGTAATATGTTTTATTTAACACAATATATAAAAAATTTTATCATTTCATTATATGAATCATTACATACTCCAACATCTCAGTTTGCTCTGGCCACATGTCAAGTGCTTAATAGCTGTGCACATCTAGAAAGATGAATTTAGGAGCCAGTTATAAAGCAGCACCTTTATTTGCTTTCAAATGTGAACCCATGTTTGGATTGTTCCAGCTTTTTTTGCTATTATGAGCAACGCTGTAATGAATAGGTATATACACAGCTCCTGGGGCAGGAATTCAGGACTGTGCATTCCTAGGACTAGGACTGCTAGGTGGGAGCAGGTGAAATAGTGCCCAGTTGTTTTCCAAGGTGGTTGGTTGTTCCAGTTCACACCCCTGCTAAAAGAGTCCTTATTGCTCCATATCCTCACCAACAATTGGAAAAGCTGCATTTCTTCATTCTTGTCAAACTAGTGGGTATAAATGGTTTCGTATTTTGTCTTAATTTGCATTTTTCTGATGATTAATGAGCTTGAATATCTTTTCAGATGCATATCAACCTTCATTTTTTTCTTCTGTGGAAATCACAAATATTTATTCATGCAAATATAAATATGTTTATATTATATATGTTATATATGTCATACAATATTATATTCATATATATGTCATATGATATATTCATTCATAAATATTTATTGAGCACTATCTGCTAAATATTAGTCTAGGTACTGAGAATATACTAGTGGGGAATAAAATAGTCCTGAATCCTGCCCTCCTGGAGTTTACATTCTGGGAGATGTGTGTGTGGTCAGGGACGGGGGGGGTGGTGCAGAGAGAAAAAAGGTCAAATACCATGTCATGTGGTGTTAGTGAACCTGAGTTTAAGTCTGGCTCAGCCATTTTACATCATTAAACCTTGGTTTCTGCAATTGTAAAAGGGAGATAGCAATAATATCTATCTTATATTGTTTATTAAATACATATGAGAACTTGACACAGTGCCTAGAAAATTGTAAGAATTCAGAAGATGCTAATGGATTTAGCATTATTTATTAATTATATAAATTATATATAATATATTATATATAAATGGGTTTATTAATTATATAAATATTATTATTATTTTCCCCTTTATTGCTTCTACATTTTCTTCATTAATTTTTTTCAGTTAGAACTACTGAAGTTTAAGATTAAATGTGTTTTGGTTCTGTTGAAGTGTTGGCTCTCATTTGGCTGTCGATCTATTGGTGTTTTCTGCAACAAGACAGATGACTTTGGCCAATTTAGAGATATGTTATTTTCAAACTTCTTAAATCCCAAGGACCAAGAGCCTGAGAACATGCACTTTTTAAAAAGCTGCATCATATCAATTAGCCAAAAATGTGGGTATTTGATATGTATAATTCAGGGCTGTATTCTGTGAGTATAAATGTTGCTTGAATTAATCATTTCAATCCAACCACCAATTTATTGTAAACTGACCATGTGCAAGGTACTGTGTAGAGGAGATGCATATGACCTTACTAATCTTTGGAACAATTATTTGTCCCTCTTTCTTAGATAATGATGTTGAAGATGATCTTCAATCAGACATCAGTTGAGCACTGCAAGATGCAAACAGAGAAGCAGAAAGAATGCAACTTCTTCTTAATAGCTGTTCGCCTGGCGTCACTGAACCAGATCTTGGATCCCTGGGTTTATCTGCTGCTAAGAAAGATCCTTCTTCGAAAGTTTTGCCAGGTAGCAAATGCTGTCTCCAGCTGCTCTAATAATGGACAGAAAGGGCAGCCTATCTCATTGTCCAATGAAATAATACAGACAGGAGCATGAAAGAAAACACTTAATCAACTTGCATGTTCACAGCTTTGGGCAACAAACAGCCCTAAACCTTACTGTGAATTTAGGCATCTCTGGCATGCTGCTGTTGATGCATTGAAGGAGAATTTTTGATATAAGTCTAAATGCTCTCAGAAGCATAGATAATCCCCTATGTGCCAAAAGTATTGAAACACAAAGGAAAATATATTAACAACAGTCTAGTGTTTTGGGTCTCTGCCATTTGTAGCTGAATAAGTGATTATGAGATGAAAACATGTTTTATAAATGGTCTTGGTCTGTGGTGGGGATGGGTGGGATAGTGAATATCCCGGTATGCTGACTACACCGGGAATTTAATGCATAGATCATCGAAGACAAGGCAACGGTTTGTTTTTGTTCAGAGACCTTGGTCTTCTGTGTTCTCTTTTGCTCTCTCTTTCTCTCTGTGTCACTCTTTTTCCCTTTACATTTTTAAAAAAGTTGAATTAGGATAAAAAAAATGTATAACGTACCCACAATATTCATTGGTACTGATGTTGTCTAAATATTGCAGAATATTTAAATTAGCTGTTAACCTTATGAAGTTTAAGTTTGGTTGAGTTGGTTGGGTTAGTAATTAGGTTTACTCATTATCTGAATAAGAGCCAATGCCACTTACTTCAGATGTGGCAGCTTTTGTACCTACCCACATTGCTAAATGTTCCTCCTTTTGAATACACTTATAATTCCTACAAGCCTGAGAAGATTCTTGAAACTGATCTTGAGAGTCAGTGAAGTGATTTTTTCCAAATGCTATTTAAGGACTGATTTAAGCACTAAATATAGGTATGCTGGTTAATTATCTTCCCTGATTTTTCCACCAAAAGTATTCTCTGAACTTTTGGATATTTAAATACTAACTCTCATTCTAAGACCAAAGAATATTTTGAAGGTTCCATAAAGACTTTCCATAGTCTGGCCTATTTATAGATTAAGAAAATTAATAATTTTGACCTGCTCCCAGTGCTTTCTCTGCCCTCTTCTCAAAGTTGCTCTATCTAAATATTTCTTATTAAAATGTTCTTCTTATAGTCTACATGTATACAAACCTTGATAGATAAACTTAATATCTTTGTGGCACAAGTAGATCACTACATTAAGTTTTGAAAATTGCGCTTTAAAAAAAAATCTCCCCGACAAACACAACAATCTTTTAAGTTACACCTGCCTGCACAAAATGATCTTCATATTCTTTAGAGCGTTCATTTTATAAACTAATTAACATTTTCTCTTGAAGATTTTAATTTGCAGTTCACTTTATCGTTTTCCTAGTTTAAAAAAATTTTAGATTTATTTATCCTTCTTTATGGAAACTAGATTTTTCTTTGTGTTTAGTAGGCATCTGGGGAGGAATTAATTTTAAGAGGTACAATATATCTATTAGATTAATATGTACACCAGCCTAGGTCAATCAGAAAGAAGCAATTTAAATGGCCATGTCAAATTTAGTGAAAAAACAAGATCTGCTGAGGGTGCTTATGTAATTCATGATGGTTCTGCTAATCTAGGTTTTGGAAAAAATTGTGATAAATAACCTATACTAAAACTCTATTGTTAAATGTCTCTATGTCATAGAATTGGATTATCCCACAGGTTACCTCATGGGTGATGACATAAAACTACCTACTTTTTTTGCAGGAAAAAAGTGCATTTAAATGACTATTATAATAAAGAGGCTTTACCTCTTGAGTGGCCTCTGACCCCCGGTTGTAATCAGATAGACACACATGCGGTGTGGACTCGTGTGCTGGGAGGGTGATGGGGTTATTCCTCCAGCACCTAGTACAGCACTTGGAATAGAGACAGTGTTCACTAAATATTTGTTCCATGAGTGAATGGATAAATGTCGGCCAGAACCGAGTGCCCATTGGTGAGGCCCCCACCATGTGGTTGCCGTGCTTCGTGTCATTATAGTCCATCAAGCTGATAAAGTGAGTAATCTCTGCTTATTTAATTATAGAAATTCTAATTTATCTTTAAATGTATCGTGTCATATTGCTGTACAACAAAGTTCTTTCTTTGTATTAATAATTTAAGAAACTGATATTTCCAAACGGCAATGGAGATTACTGTCAAAGAAATACCACTCTTCATCAATGAAACTACAGAAGTATGTCCAGACAAAACAGCCTGAAACTTATCCTTAACTACAAAATTAATTCCTGCCCAGGGATACAGGGTAGGAGTGGAAGAAGGGCAGTTTTTGAACAAGCTTGAAAAGGAGGTGGAAAAAAAAGAATTGTGTAAATGGCATGTGTTTTGTTCTCTAGGCAACCACTCGTTAGTACAGGGAAAACCCGATAAGAAATATGAATCCCAAATGATGTGAGCCTTTGGATGGCAGTTGAAGATAGACTTCAGAGATGTTGTTCAGAGGCCCTAGATGTGGTTAGGATGTGGACGTCTAAATTCACTGCAGAAGAGAATATCCGTTTCCAAGTTTAAGTTTGTTGGCCATTAAGTTCACTCTCGTATACTTAGTTTATCCATGCACGTATCTGAGCAGGAAAAAAATGCATGCGTAAATTATGACAATTCCAAAACTTTGCAGTATTAGTTAAAATAATAATAATAATAATAAAGGCCCAAGAAACCACATAGAAAGAAGTTAAAGCAAAGTAGAAATATGTGTAAAACCAGTTATAGTAGATTTTACAAAGCTGTCCTGATTTTCTGAGCAACGAATTTATACAGATCTGCTGTGTAATAGAAGAGAGTGATGACATGCAATCCAATAAGAGCAGTTTACTGTCAGATAAAATAGGTACGGTGGATATCTTAAAAATATTTTAAATTGAAGAAATAAAATTTGTTATCTCAAGATTTACCAAAGTTATCTATTGCTGTATTCCAAGATATTTTAAGTAAATGTAAATGTTTAATCACGCCAGATTTAAATGACTATGAATTAAAAAGTGCACATATATTTCTACTGAACACTTCTTTTTTATATAAAAGATCTCTCAACCATGTTACAGAAAAAAGTTGCAGAAGCTCATCTACAAGTTACCTGTAAAAGACCCTGTGACCATGCTGGCAGTGAGTAATAGACAAACTAAAAATTCTAAAACAGTATTTTGCAACGGCGCTCAGTCGGTGGCAGCATTCTAGTATTAGATTTTCAAGTGAATAGGCTTTTTATTTATTTAATACTTTTTATATTTTTGTTGGTTTTGAGCCCAAATTAGTAATTTGCTTTCAGTCTTCCCCACAACAACAATCATTTAATGGTTCTTTTGTATTGGGATTGAGTCAGAGACAGAAAAGAGAAAAATTTAGTTCTTTGACATTTTAGGCACATGTATTGCCTACTAATTTTCACACTTTAACCCCAAAGGCTTCTCTTGAAATATACAAGATACTGGGAGATGAGTGACACAGAGAGGCTGCAGAGTTTTTATTGCTACAAACGTACGGAAAGCTTAATATGGAATAATTAACATTTCTATGATTCACCTGTATAAAAAGTTTAGACCATCAACCATGCCAAATCTTCACAGCTCCTTGTTTATTGCTGGTTTTGTGCTTGTATATGTCTCAAAATCTCTAAAACTAAGGTCTAAATAAATGTACGGAATTGTTCAAAGTATGAGATGACATCATTTTAAAAACGAAGAAGATTCAATACTGTGGCTAAGTCCGTCGGACTGTTCTCTGAGCTGCAATAAAATGCTGGTAAGAGGTGACCTACCTCTGTGATGTTTCATAACACAGGTTGTGTTTGTCCAATTTACGGACTTTGAAAATCAGTCTAAGACTCACATGCACATTTGTTAAGAAGCTGATATCAGTTCGGTATTCTACGACAACTAACAGGTGGAGATTACATATGGAGCATGAAACAGAGAATTAGGGAACATTTTTAAATTAAAACTCTATTATATGGGTATCATTTATCTAGATACTAATTTCATGTGAAAGTTCATATTCATCTGAATTACTCCCACCTAAAAAATGCATTAATGATGAATTTGTATCTATGGTTATCAAGTAAAATCTTTCACATGTCTTTCCTGAATGCCTTTTTTGATTGAGTTTATCTTGAATAAAACTGAAGAAAGTAAAGAGTAGTACAGGGTGACTTTGTTCTCAAAGTAACAAAGGGAAAACTGAGACTGTATATATCTATGAAGGACTTCAGCAAGTCTAGAATTAAGGCATTTTTTCAAGAAGAGATCAACAATTAGTTTTTAAGTCAGATGGAAAGATATCCTCAAAACATGCTGCTTAACGTTTCTTTTCTCACTCACCCCTGTTCTCTACTCTTTTAAGAAATGAAAGAGCACAGAATTCTTATTTTATATCTTCTCTATTTTATAATTCCTAAAATGAGGATTCTATTTAAAGTCTTATAATTTATACAAGTTGAGTTGTAAGCCATTACATTACGATATCATAAGCCGAGTACATTTTGACGCTATAGAAATACAGTTCAATCAGACATATACCATATTCATTTATATATCACATATTTTCTTTATTGAGAATGAAAATTTTATTTTTAGAAGTTTTACATCCATCAGTTTTATGTCATAAGCAGCCCAAATATCTCCTGGATTAAATATTTATTCATTAGGAATGAGACTGTTCTTCCCAGCCCCTTGCCTCCAACTTGCTTATCCATTTTATCACAGAGTTAGAAAATAACAGAAATATTTACTGTTGGTGAAGCTGGAATTGTTCTTATGAGGAGAGAGAACAACTTCATATTTCTAATATGATAATGCCCTAATATATGAAACTGATCTCAGTCCTTTTTTTAATGTCTGCTTTGATGAAACAATTTTATTATGGGTGTAAAGAGAGGAAGTAAAGAGGTGACCATCAGGAACAAATCAGCCTTTTCAAGCTTTTTGAGCATTTTGGAGATGATTCCATCTCTA